CATCATACCTCTGCATAGATTTGTAGGATTTTAGATTTTTTAATGAATTGTAAATTAAAATTTATAAGAATAAATAATTAAAAAAATAATATTAAATATTATAAATATAAAATAAAAATAAAATAAAATAAATATTTATATAATTTTAAAAGTATTTTTAAGATTTGGGATAAAGAGAGATTTTAGAAGATTTTTAGAGAGAGAAGTGATTGTTAGATTGTGTTTGGAAGTGTTTGTAAAAGAAATCCGCGTTAATATATACAAAACGTTTGCAACGCAATTGCGTTGCAAATCTAATTAACAACGAAATTGCGTTGCAAAAAGCGTAAAAACCGTAATCCATCGTAGTCATAAATTTATTTTAAATTTGCAACGAAATTACGTTGCAAATTTATATATTTACTTTTTTGACGGTCAAATCATATTAATTATTAAATAATAATTTTTGCAACGAAATTATTAAGTTGCAAAAGGAAATTCGTTGCTAATCGTTATTGATTTCAAAGAAATAATTTTACAATGATTTTCCAACGCTTTGCAAATTAGCAACGAAATTATTGCATTGCAAAGCATTGTTAATTGCAAAAAAAAAATTACAACGATTTATCAACGATTTTGCTACGCTTTTAGCAACGAATTCATGACGTTTCAAAGCGTTGCTAGTTGCAATAAAAAATTTTGCAACGATTTTACAACGCTTTGCAACGAAAAATTGCGTTGCAAAATCGTTTTCGTTAAAAAACGTTGCAATTTCTTTGCTACGGTTTGTGATAAATAACCTGCGGTCTGCGACAAATGACTTGCGGTTTGTGACAAATGACTTGGGGTGTGCGTTAGATGATCTGCTGACCTGCGGGAGATGACCTGCTGACCTGTGGCAGATGCCTTGCGATGTGCGGTAGATGACCATGATTTCACCTACGGTATGTTGTAGGTCATCAGATGACCTACTGACATGATGTCTTGATCAATCTCTTCATCACTATACTCATAATGTTTTTCATCAGACCTCTCCGACCTATGAAGTCATTTTGCAATTACAGCCACTAGAATCAACCATAAGCAAATTGTGCATCTAAGAAATGTGTGATAACCTCAAATCAATAGCAAGCAGTATTCAATTAATCTGCTGAAGGCTATTCGAATTTAAAAGAAGCACCACCATAGAAGTACCATGGACTTCTAATCTGATCAACCTATTCATCATCATACTCATAATGCTTTCCATCAGACCTCTTCGATCCACTCTCAACAACATTTTGTCTCCTACTTGTAGCTACTCTCTCCTCATATTCTTCTTTATTTTCACTGTCAGCATTTCTTGCTTCGCTTTCCTCCCGTTGATTACCATCATCGCCCTCTTGCCAACTTTGCTCCCTCTCACCTGCACTTTCTTCGGGATCAGGTTCTACATCGCCCGGTTCTCCATCAGTTTTCGGTTCCGCTTCTCCATGACCTTCTACATCAACTTCACCTTCTCCTTCGGACTCCAACCCTCCGTTGGCCTTATCCTATTGAATATTGATGCACATGGTTTGGAATCAACAAAGTTTTTCACTTTTTTTTTATTTTCATCGAAAAAATTGATATAATTAGGCAAGCAAGACATAATATAAAAGAGAACAACAGTCTCAATTAACCATAACTGAGCTCAGAATTCCAAAGACTTAATCCAAATTACAAGAATGAATACAACTTGTGAACCACTTTTTATCACACAACATATATCAAAGTCACAGGTCATAAACACATATACAGAACACGGAAAATATCAAACCCTTAATTAAGCTGAATTCGAGCAAACAATTTTCGTACTTTCCCTGCAACCGTCAGTAAAACCTTCTTGGTTTATCACTAAACCCTAAACTTCAAGAGATGAGAGTTTCACAGATCACATCCCATATCGTAAAACTCCAAGGCAATTCTGGGAATACTAAGATAACTGTGAAACAGACACCAGTTCAAAAATTTACAGGGTACAAACAACGAATCGCCATGGACAACATAGAGAGAGATATACATATGTATAGATTGGCCGAGGGTTAGATTCATGCTCGGAATCGATCTCTTCCTCTTCCTCGGACTGATCTCCGAAAATATTCTGCATCATCTAGTGTTTTTCCTCTTCCCCATCTCTCTCTATCTGTCGGAACGGGGAGCTAACGGTTTGTGTTCGAAACTTCGACGTAGAGAAAAAAAACGGAGAAATGAGAAAGGGGAAAACACTCCTTTGTTATATTTGCTAAAGGATCCAACTTATTTTTTAGATTCAATGGGTCTTAACCTCAATAAGATCAAGTAAAAAAAAATCTCGACCAACATTTTATTATATCCTATATCAATAACTAAATTTTTACAAAAAAAATATTTAAAAAAATTTATATAAATATTCATATTTTTAAAAAAAATCTCATATAAACTCAAAATTTAATTTTTTTAAATAAAAATAGTCAATATTATTAAACGGTTTTTAAATTTATTTAAAATAAAATTCAAAAGTTGAAATATTTTTATAAAGTTTTTGAAAATTTAAGTATTTATATAGAAATTTTATAATTAAAATATTTATTTGGAATTAATGTAAAAAGTTAGGGCATTATGTTATATTTTTTTAATGAATCATTAACATGTAATCACTTTATAAACAATTATCATTATTATCGAATGATTATCAATAGTTACTAAATCCTGTATTTTGGAATATGTTGAACGACTAACACTTACACTTGTAGTTGTAGGAGTTCGACATAAGCTAGTTAATATCATTTTACTATTTAAATACTAATATTTTTTTGTCAAAGATTATAATTAATAGAATAATATTATTTTTGGTTTAACTCGTATATTTTATTATCGGTTTAATATATTTTATGTATTTAAACATGTCTTTTTGTCTTTTCTAATTTTAAATTTATAATACTACAAAAAAATGTGCAAAGTCTGTCCCAAAAAGTTGGACTACATCTTTGTAAAGATAATTCACTTTATCCATATTATATATATCTATAAATTTAATATACAAATATAAATAATTTAAAATAATTTAACGAAAATATACTTTTTTATAACGGTATTTGATTATTGAAATCTAAATCACTTGAATATATATGGATGATTAATAATTAGCCGAATGGTTGTATGAGATAATATACAAATTATATATGAGAGTGTATATATTGATCTATTGACAACTACATCCTCATTTTTTAAAAAATTTATTGATATCTGCTATTTATATACAATATAATAAAATCCGTTTTTCTAGATACAAATACCTATATATATATATTTATTTATAATCCGTAAATTTACATGTCACAGAATTTCCAAAAAATCTGGATCTCTCTTCAAATAAAAACTCGAAAATTTTTACTTCCTTACTTAATAGTTAAACCACCTAATATTGTATTATATTTTTTTATAGATTATATATATTTAATATTAGGTTTGAGTTTGATTGTAAACATAAATATAAAATTTACCTAAATATTTTTAAGGTATCTGATGTGGGAAAATAGAATAGATTGTTTAGAATAATTCACGAGTCATCTTATTAGGTTCATAGTTTACACATATTTATTTACAAAGTACCTAAAAGAAAAAGGAAACGAGATAAAAGGCAAGAAATAAATCTGCTAAAGTTCACAAAACCAACATGTAAATAAAATATATGTAAAGGAAAGTTTCTTGGTATTTGTCGGAGTGATTTCGATTTAGTGCAATCTTCCAAATCTGAATGTGATCAATCTCTCCTTGATTCCATATTATGTCCAACGGTTAGATCCAAACTTTGTCTTGGGATAGAACCTTGAATGCATCCCAAAGGTTCTTCTTGTTCCATGTGGTGTGTATCGTCCTCTTCTTTATTTGTCTTTACATTCCCCCTCAAGATTGATTCGGGGATTCGAAGAATGTCTAGAAGCCAATCTTGATGAGCATATGTCTCATTGGTTTCGTCGGTTTTCCTTAAGCGTGCGATGACCTCCCATAGTGATTCGTTCTGTATTAACTCGATAAAATTGTTAGAACACACAAAGGAATCATTGACACTCCTTTTGAAACGATAAACCAAATGTAAACATGCAACAATATGTCTTTCATCGAACAACAGTAGAAATAATGTTCTAACACGCATGAATGCTAAGTTTAATATTTTTGAAGAATTAAACATTATTTTTATGATGAGATTCATATTTGTTTTATATTTTAAACTAGACATGTTACTCAAATTTTCATTGAATACTAGAGACATGTCGTTTATACAATCTTCATGATAAAAAGTATTTCGAACTAGCATATTTTGTTCATTATACAACACGTGAATATGTTCTCCGGGATCAAAAACATAAAGTTTGAGAGTGCTTTTACCAAAATTATAGTTGTATAAACTTATAGGTAATGTTACCTTTTCTTCGTATATTTTTTCACACTTCGGCTTTTGCCTCTGTACATGGACTTCCATTGAGTTTGTTTGCTTTGTACTCCAACGTTTCATCATGAGCGTGTCTTTTATTTTCTGCCCAATGACACTTAAAACACCAAACATATCATTAGGAATAACAAACTCAAAGTGAAGTGGAGAGAAGAATGAATGACAAACTCTATTGCCGATGCATTGGAAATGCATGATCGGATTTGCCTTGGGAAGAACGAATGGGACAAGGTTGTTCTCCATAGATGATGCCTCATTTTCGAGGTTCTTTGCCTCCATTTGTAGGTCATCGTCCTTTACGAACTCCATTTGATTCCCTTCTTCTTCTTCTTCTTCTTCTTCTGCTTTTGAGCAATCCGGTCCTACTTTTCCCGTGTGTTCGACTTCTTCGATTTGTATCATTTTTTCTTTACCCTCTTCATTAAGTTTTTCATTTAACCTCCCATCATCCACACACGTGAGAGTGATCTCCTCACATTCCCCCTCACGTTGTGGATGAATAGGCGTCATGTATTCAATGAAGAATTCTCGGACGGTTTGATCGGTCATCTCTTCTTCCGAAAACCACTCGTGTTGTTCCTCGTTTATGATGTTTTGAGTGCGTTCTTCGCACCACATCATTTTTGCTTCCATGAGGGATATTTTCCCTTTGGCTTTTATAACCTGCAAGATTAGTTTGTTGTGTATACCATCCAAAAATTCAAGAAAGGTATAGAGTTTACGCGTTTCGATGCTTAGATCGGGATGAAGCTCCTTGATTCTATCCCAAACACCCTTGAACGCCTTGTCTCTTTGTTCTTCAAGCATGTTACTCCATGCATTTTGGAGCAACTTGAATTTTCGGATGTACTCAAAGGTTGCTATGACCTTGAAATCTTCATACGCCAATCTGTATGTCATGTTTCTCTTCTCTTTGGTGTTTACTACAAAAGGGATAAAAGTTTTTTTTCTTTTTGAAAAATTATACAGCGAAAAAGAGAATAGTGATCACCATGGATCTTGCTCTGATACCATGTGGGAAAATAGAATAGATTGTTTAGAATAATTCACGAGTCATCTTATTAGGTTCATAGTTTACACATATTTATTTACAAAGTACCTAAAAGAAAAAGGAAACGAGATAAAAGGCAAGAAATAAATCTGCTAAAGTTCACAAAACCAACATGTAAATAAAATATATGTAAAGGAAAGTTTCTTGGTATTTGTCGGAGTGATTTTGATTTAGTGCAATCTTCCAAATCTGAATGTGATCAATCTCTCCTTGATTCCATATTATGTCCAACGGTTAGATCCAAACTTTGTCTTGGGATAGAACCTTGAATGCATCCCAAAGGTTCTTCTCGTTCCATGTGGTGTGTATGTTCTTCTTCTTTATTTGTCTTTACATCTGATCCATAATTTCCCTGTAAAATCAAATTCACGAGCAAACAATATTGTTTGCTCGAAATCATCTTGAAAATATTTTTAATTTCAAAAGTGATGGAAACAAAAAAAAACACTTTTCCAAAAAACAGGTAAAACATGTATTTGAACATTTAAATCAACGGTTAGGATTTGATTAAACAATGCATCAGTAGTGTTACATGTCGACTTATAATTGGTTGTTATTGAATCACTCGCCCACTGTACCACCACTCTTCTCTAGCCCTCTGTCTAATAAAGCGGATTCGGTTGCGATGCAGTTCAGGCTAGGTGACTATTTCGGGTTTCGGTTCGATTATTTCGGGTTCGGTTATTTCGGTTATAAAAATCATATCCAAACGGTTATATAGATTTAATCGGTTCAGTTTGGTTCGGTTCGGTTAGATTTTTGAATAATAAAATTATAACCAAACGGTTAAATTTTTTGGTTTATTCGGTTCAGTTTTAAATGGGTTAATCTTTTACAAACTTCAAAATATCTATCCAAATAAATACATAAAATGATTAATCATCCAAAAAAGTTACAAAAAAATTTACAAAAACTTCAATAACTAAGATAAAGAGTTAAAAACTTTAAATTTTATGATTTATTAAGCGAAATATATAAACTAAAGTTAAATGTGAAGTTGTGAACTATACAAAAATAACACCAATAATGAGGATACAAATTAAAAATATTAAAAAATCTTAATAACCATTAGGGTAATCACGATTATTCGGTTATTAATCGAATCGAATCGAACGCGAATGATAATTCAACTTCCTCAATCGTTTGGTTATTAAGTAAATAACCAAACCGAGTCACTCTTATTCGGTTTTGGTTCGGTTCAATTATTCTGTTAATAAACTAAACCGCCACCGCTTCTGGTCCGAACCTTGGGTCTTGATCCTGTCCTGCTTACCTTGAAAATTTTGGCAGTGCTTCGATCTCTCTCTCCCTCCTCGCTTGCCGTTTTCGTTAATTCTTCGATTCGAAAAACCCTAACGCGTTTACCAGATATTGGGGTTGCAGAAGAATCCATTTCGGTTGTGCGAGTCGACTTGACGGAAGTGTAAGCTCATAGCTTATCTTTATCTTTCCGAAAACCCTAATTTTTCTCGGATGTAGTTGGAATAAACGATGCATACCGAATCAGTCGTGTGTGTCGGTCGGATTAAGGCTTGTCAGCTTTCCTCCGAGGTCGAATTCTTCGATTTCATCGTGTTTTTGTTAGCCCCGGGGCTTCGATTTGGATGAAATTACACTGCGGCAATTTCGATCTCGTGTGGGTTGTGTAGGTTTCTGAGAAATCCTGAAAATTTCGGCAGCTTTACACTTTCTGTTGCGATAGAAGGTTATAGCTGTGAAATGGGAGTTCTGGTTGTTTGCTTTAAAGAAATTTGGTACATTAACTGCAAACAAGCTCTTGGTTTTACTGGATTTGCTGTGTTTCGAGTTGTTTATAGTTTCATAAGCTTAATTGAGCTCAGGATCTGCGTTGCAAGTCGCTAGTAATCCTAGAAAGTTAGAAACAGTTGGTACTATTGTATTTTTTGGAAGTTGCTAAGAACTATGTGAAGCTATATATATGTTAACCATTCATTTTCTATGCAACTTTCTAGTCTCTTTGGCTGCTATTCAGGATTTTCATCGTATGACTATTTTCTTCGCTTAGCGTCCCCGTTCCGACAGGTAGAGAGAGATGGGGGAAGAGAAGAGACACCAAATGATGCAGAATCTTTTCGGAGATCAGTCCGAGGAAGAGGAAGAGATCGATTCCGAGCATGAATCTAACCCTCAGCCAATCTACGCATCTGTATCTCTCTCTCTCTATATATATACATATATGTTGTCCATGGCGATTCGTTGTTTGTACCATGTAAATTCTTGAATTGGTGTCTGTTTCACAGTTGGCCTGCTTAGCGTTTCCCAGAATTGCCTTGGAGTTTTACGATATGTAATGTGATATATGAAACTCTCCTCTCTCGAAGTTTAGGGTTTAGGTGATAAACCAAGAAGGTTTTACTGACGGTTGCAGGGGAAGTGCGAAAATTGTTTGCCCGAATTCATCTTAGTTAGGGTTTTGATGTTTTCCGTGCTCTGTATATGTGTTTATAACCTGTGATTTTGGGATATGCTTTGTGATAAAAGTGGTTCACAAGTTGTATTCATTCTTGTAATTTGGATTGAGTCTTTGGAATTCTGAGCTCAATTATAGTTAACCGAGACTGTTGTTCTCTTTTATATTATGTGTTGCTTGCCCAATGATATCAGTTTTTTCGATGAAAACAATAAAAAGTGAAAAACTTTGCTGATTCCAAACCATGTGCATCAATATTCAATAGGATGAGGCCGAGGGAGGGTTGGAGCCTGAAGGAGAAGGTGAAGTTGATGTAGAAGGTCATGGAGAAGCGGAACCGGAAACTGATGGAGAACCGGGCGATGTAGAACCTGATCCCGGAGAAAGTGAGGGTGAGAGGGAGCAAAGTTGGCAGGAGGGCGATGTTGGTAATCAACGGGAGGAAAGCGAAGCAAGAGATGCTGACAGTGAAAATAAAGAAGAATATGAGGAGAGAGTAGCTACAAGCAGGAGACAAAATGTTGTTGAGAGTGGATCGGAGAGGTCTGATGGAAAGCATTATGAGTATGATGATGAAGAGGTTGATCAGACTAGGAGTCCAAGGTACTTCTATGGTTGTGCTTCTTTTAAATTCGAATAGCCTTCAGCAGATTAATTGGATACTGCTTGCTATTGATTTGAGGTTATCACACATTCCTTAGATGCACAATTTGCTTATGGCTGATTCTAGTGGCTGTAATTGCAAAATTACTTGATAGGTCGCCTAGTGAAGAGAAGGATGAGGCTCATGTTTCACAGTCGGCCGATGAGATTCGTCATGTATTTGGTGACTCAGAGGATGAAGATGCAGAGGAATACGTTAGGAATGCCATCGAGCAGGATGAACATGTGAGTGTTACATTTCATAGTATTGCTGTTTCTTTCCTTCAAGAAACAATATTCATCGCGAGATTTGATTTCTCAGAGGTCCCCAATTGAAGACGAAGTGGGCTATGAGAAGGATCTGAGGCCTGAAGATATGGTGCCTGAAGAGGATACTCAGTATGAGTCAGAGGGTGAACATGTCGAAGTTAGGTACAGGGAGAGGCCAATTGGCCCCCCTTTGGAAATAGAGGTTCCTTTTCGTTCTCCTCCAGGTGATCCGACAAAGGTACATCTTGTTTTATGTTTCATAAATATTTTGCACTTAGATGGTTTAGAATCTATAGTTTGTCATCTTCTGGAATTTTCCTTTCCAACTGACTGGGAGTTGTCAAATATGTACCAAACTGTTGATGTTTTACAAGAGTAATCCCTAATGTTCTTTTATGTGGAGAGTTGATTGGTGCAGAAACAAATATGCTTCTCCATTTATTTGGTTTGAGGTTTCATATGTTGTACGGAACAATGATATTTGCTCGTATATTTCACACTTCACTTTCTGGCAGTCCCTAGTCAAGAGTTTCTATAGCTAGACCGCATTTTCTTTCTGTATTAGTAAGGCCAACTTTCCTGCTTACCTGTTATCTTCAATTTTTTCAGTTGAACATGATAAAAGTTTCAAATATCATGGGTATTGATCCAAAGCCCTTTGATCCCAAGACATTTGTGGAAGAAGACACATTTGTGACTGATGAATCTGGAGCAAAGAAGCGTATTCGCTTGGAGAACAATATTGTCCGCTATAAGGCTGTTAAGAATCGAGATGGCAAAACTTATGTAAGTGAATACACATTTCTCTAACTTTGGTAAATCTCATGAATTCGATGTCTTTCTGCAAAAAGTTTTTGTTGATATACATGCAATCATTTTAAGCTTTCTAGTCACATTACATGGTAATCCTATTGACTAATGATCTGTGTTCACATGAATCGAGTGGCTTTTTTTTCTTGGTTTTGCTGGGTTTTCTTCTATTGTCTTGGTCAGATATTCCAAGAATTAGTTTCCTCTGATTTCCTTTTACCTTTTCTGCAGTGAAGTAATGCTTCCTTCTGTTTGTGTGCAGTATGAAAGTAATGCTAGGTTCGTGAGATGGTCAGATGGAAGCTTACAGCTATTAATAGGAAATGAAGTTCTTGACATATCTGTACAAGATGCACAGCAGGACCAGAATCACCTTTTTATTAAACACGGGAAGGTGATTTCTTAGTTTCTTCTTACCTGTTTGCACAATCAGTTTACAATTGCTTCTTCCCTGTAAGACTTAAAAGCATCCGCTGAATAAAATACCAGCTGTTTATTCCCAGAGGATTGATTTGGTTAGATACACTGTACAACAAAGCTCCGAATGGGAGAACGAAGATTTCTTCTACCATCTCTCCTAGTTTCTTCATCACACTCGTTATACTACATTTCCCCCAAAATTTCTCCCGGTTTTGAGGAAAAAAACAGCTCTATTATTTATGTCTTTTCTGGTTATATTGCAGGGGATTCTGCAATCGCAAGGAAGGGTTTTGAAGAAAATGAGGTTTATCCCATCTTCTCTATCATCGAATTCCCACAGGCTTTTGACTGCTCTTGTGGACTCGAGGCACAAGAAGGTCTACAAAGTTAAGAACTGCATCACTGACATTGACCCTGAGAGGGAAAAGGAAAAGAGAGAAAAGGTAACCTGTTTTGTTACCTGGGGCTTCTAAAAATAAAGTAATCATCACTCATATTTTTTTTGTTGTAAGAGCCTTTGCTTTTCTCATTTGATATCTCATTTTCAAGGTGGAAAGCCAAAATATCAAGGCTAATATGAAGCTGAGTCAAGCAAGGGAGAAAATCAAGCGCAAGTATCCACCACCTGCTGAAAGGAGGCAACTTTCCACTGGGTACTTAGAGGGTGCTCTTGATGAGGTATGTTTTACATGTCCTTTCCGTGTTCGTTCAGTTTATTTTGTAGCAAGGTTTCACTCGTTTATGTTTACAACCCATGGAAAGACACGAGCTTTTTTTTACCGTCAATTTTTTTATGAACTCTAATCAGATGTGTATATTCCAGTAAAGGAAGATGAATAACAAGTAAATATTGAGGTGGTAACAATTGGTTTGATGTATTTTTATTTGGCCGATGTTTCCTTAACCAGGATGAAGAGACAGACCACTATGGTTCCCACCGCTCTAACCGTAGCTTTGAGGAGGATCTTGAAGCGGAAGCACAGAGAGAGCGACGCATTATGAACGCTAAGAAGGTATTAAATTCTTTTGTCTTACAGCAAAAAAAAAAACGTAAAACAAAAGTTTCTCAACCGATAATCTGATTTCGGTGCATGACTGACTGATTATCCTCTCCGTTTCCGGCTATCAGTACCAGAGCCATAGAGATATTCCACGGAGGCCATCTTCTGCCAAACCTTCCAGGCGTCCGGTGGAATTCTCGGAGAGTGAGAGAGAGGAATCGGAGTACGAGACGGAAGGAGAGGATGAGGAAAGGTCTCCACCGCGCAAAAGGATCGAGGAACCAGAAGACGAGTACGAGGAAGAAGCGGAGGAAGATGAGGAAGAAGAGCAAGAAGAAGATGCCAAGGCTAACAGATACTCGGAGGAAGAAGAAGAGCCCGAGGTACGGAAAATAATAAGAGAAGAGGTAAATTGCGGAAATCTGACTAAATTTGGCATCGAGATTGCGAATCAAGTTCCAAATTTTCTTCTTATCCGAACTTTTAGTGCAAGCAATTCAAAGCACCACGCTGTAGAAAAAAACAGCAAAGCAAACAAAACAAAATTGCTTCACAGAAAGTTTGTCCGAAAATTTGCAATCTTATGCAAAATTTAGTCAAGTTTCTCGTAATTCAGTTAGCTGTAAACAGAAGAGTTTATTATTTCGGGCTAAATGCAGGATGCGAAGGGACGGAAACGCAAAGGAATCGAGTCGGACGAGGAATCTCCCCCGAGAAAAGCTCCAACACATCGTCGCATGGCCATTGTTTACGACAGTGACGAGGATTAAAAGCTCTATCTTTGCAGTTCCTTATTGTTCTTACGTATCAATTTATGGTCTGAAGGAGACTCGAATCTGTTGAGTGTTTTGGAACACAATTAACTCAGGTTTTCGATTCTCATGCCGATTTGACTCATAATATTCTCCTTGGTTTTGAATTATCAAATCTTGTAGATTACTTTGTACTAACTGGCTGGGTTTCTCGGGATTTTTTCCCCCCGGTTTAGGCTTGTATGGGTAGCCTGAACTGACCCGGAGAAAGTAGGGTGTCAAACGAATCAATTTGGATTGAAACGAGTCGGGTTTAGCTCATTTGAAAATGAGTTGGTATCGAGTCAGTTATCAAGGCTAAGTTGATTTAACTCTCCTTGGGAGAAAGCCAGTTTTGGTTAACGTTAGGGAGTTTTTTGTGTCTTCAGGCAAAACCCGATGGAGCTTTAAACTCTCCAACCCGAAATGTGCAAATCAGAAACAAAATGTGAAACGCAATCAAGGTTTCACGCTTGGGGGTCCAACAATTAACAGATAATGAATAATGAGACCGTAGCTATTTAAATTAGCAATTTATTGAAAAATAAAATAAAAAATCAAAGGTTTTTATACTTATTAGTTTTATTTTTAAAATATTTAAAAAACAGACCAAAGTGAACTTTAGAATACTACGGATAATAACAAATTTTCTTTTAATAAATAAAAGCCAAGAATAATTTACCCGAACACGAATTCATATTATAAAAATTCGTGTCGCAATTTCAAATTTGCGTTTGGAGTATAAACTAGCTATTATAAACTCTTATAAAGTACGCTTGAAGTTAAAAAAAAAAAACAATACCTTTTTAAAATTAAATTCAAAAGGTTTTGGACGACAAACTTAATGCAAATTCGGGCCAAGATTCAATGTGTGCCCAGAAAATGACATTTTGGAATATCATATCATAACCTGCATTGTGCCTTCTCATGTTATCCTCAACGCTCTGCGACATCTTCAATGGACTGTTCTTGCTCAAACCCGACATAACAATCTGAAACTAAAATGAGTTTCATATCCTGAAACCACCAAAAAAAACTCAACATTAAAAATGACGATAAAGCCCGAGGCCGAAACAGAGAGTTGGAAAAAAAAGGAAAAAAAAAAAACAGACCTGGAAAGAGTTGGAATTAGGAGGCAACTCCATGCGAGTGACGAGACGGCCGGTGAAAGAAACTCTCTTCAGGGCATAGAGTTGCGAAGTTGAGGTGTTACCCAAAACCAACCACCATGCCTCGTCTTTCACCTGCGATGAAAACACGAGAATGTGAATTCCTCAGGTTTTGATTCTTCCAAAATCAGACGAGACATGTAATCTTCCGGATACCTTCGGGAAACGAGGAGCAAATGCCCTCGAGTTGTTCCTCTTAGAAGTCTTCTCCAACTTGATCTCGAGCGATGAAGGTTTCTCACTGCCAGCTCCCTTCTTCTGGAGTCTCACTTTCATCTGAATCCGGGGAAAGTGCTGTAGATCCTATTTTAACAAACCCAGACCGCCAAATCGAAGAACAGCAAAATGTTAAAATGTATAGTCATTCGAGTTTTCCTTGTATTTTGGATGTGGGAAAAAGGTGAAAACGAGGCGAGAAATGAGACGAATATAAGACTTAGGAGAGGAATGGATACTTGAAATAGTCTCGAAGTTGCTGAGTTTCCCGTTATGCTTTGGATAGCAGGTTTCGGAAGATCTAATAACTGCTTCAGAGTGTGAATTCCTCTCTTGGTCAGACATCCGAGAAGATCATCGTTCATGCATGGGATCATCCACAGCGAAGAACCTTGACCAAACCACAAGCCCTGGAATTCGGAGAGACGAAAAAATTTCAGACAACATGAAAAACGAAACAAATAAAGAATCTGTACAAATGTCAGGTACGGAAAAAGTTTCAAAGGAGAGTACCTGCATGACCATTTGCAAAAGATGCATGCAAGTGAGAGAGCTCGAGAGCCACCCACTGTTGGCGCATATATCGATCATGGCTTGGAGGATCCGAATGCTTTGGTCCAGCACCGACTTTAAATCCGTGACATAATCACTGATCGGAAGTGCCAACTGAGAAAAATGTGCCTGCCCTCACGGAAATCACACGTTAAAATAGGGCCACCTAATTGTGAAGACAAATCGAACAAGATTTCAAGGCACGGGCCTCATGAGTCATAATACCTGGAAGAGCAGATTAGCCTTAACATGAGGATCATCTAGATGGTTCTTATCCACGGGATATCGGACTTTCTCAGACAGCGCTTTGTTGTAATTTTCCTACGAATAAGAGAAAATAGAAAATCCCGACTTGTTGCTTAATGATATGCCTTTCCACTAACTGAAAACAATTGCGAATATAAACTTTACCTCATTGTGCCTCACTGGAAGTTCATCATACTCGGATGCACCAGCCAAGATATGCAAAAATGCCTAACGGAATGGAAGTAAACCGATAGATCATCAACATATAGTTTATGGGAATCCATTTACTTGCTTGGCACAGATAAAAAATTTATTGGATCCGTAACTTACTTCGAGTGTCGTGTCAGCGCCTATATTAGAACCAAACATGGACACTGTCATGTAGCCGAGGTAATACTGTGATGCTATTGTACCCAGCATCATAGGCTCCACACTGTTTTCATTTATTCTGATGCATCCACTGTCCTCCAGATCCTCGAATGTGTTCTGCACCAATCTATAACAAAGCAGACATCCAAACACCATTTTTTTTTGTAATAACAAAAATGGAGATGTTCCAGTTAGAGAAGTCATTATGTATTATCTAATAACTCTTGAGATGTACCTTGACAAGTAGGAACACACTGTTTCATCTTCAGTGCTTTCTAGCCCATAGTAGGCAGGATTACCCATCTATTAAATAGACACCCGGTTCAGAAAGTATCACAAAACCGAAAGTAATATCAGATTCTTTCATGTTCTTTACCAATATTAGACGTGATTAGGAAGCACAATTACCAGTCTACGGAATAAGTAGGTCCAGGTAAGATAATGCACAGCATCTTCTTTATTGCCAACTGTCCCAGAAACAATTTCTGCATTGAAGTGATCGTGCAACTGCTCTTTCAGGCTGCTTTCAACTGGGAATGGCTCATACAAGAACTGCATTCAAGAAATGTGACGATTAAAAGTTAAATATGCAAAGAAAATAAAGATTGGATCGACATTCTTGACTGAGCTTCACCTTTTTGTAGAAACTCTTTTTAGGATCATGTACAAGAATGACCGCTTTCCCATGTTGATCAAACTGCGGACGGCCTGCCCGACCCATCATTTGCAAGATCTCTGTAAGTGGGAAGTCAACATATCTTTTGGTTTTTCCATCGAAATACTCTGTTCCCTGAGACATTAGGCACATTGCCAAAGAGAACAATACAAAAGAGAAGAGAACTGTTAAGAGGAGAAAATCCTATCAAAGTGAACTTCAAACATGTACAGCAGAAGTTACATGTTAAAGAAATAGCATTATCCACCAGTAGAATCAACCCGTTATAAGTTCATAGCAAAGCATCTAATTTTACCTTTATGATAACCAAGTGGGCTGGTAAGTTTACTCCCCATGCTAAGGTACTTGTTGAGACCAACACCTGAAACAGAAGAAGATGGTTCGTTCTTCACGTACAGGCATTTCACATGATTAAGGAAAAACAAAAGGTAAGGAGACTGCCTGAATCTTGTTGTTCACGAAAAGCTCTTCAACCACAGATCTATCATGATCATTCAATCCTGCATGATGCAACCCAATACCAAATTGCAACGTATGCCTTAGGTTTTGGTCAATGACCTGGGAGAGGACCATCTGCAAGTCTTCCTCTGCCATATTCAGAAACTGCCGTGGGTGCTCATCTGAGGCCGCAAACTTCATTTATACAGGAAAAGTTATAGAATCAATTGGAATCTGATAGTAACGAGACGAATGATATTGTGCTGCAAGTTGATGATAAATCTTGCCTGAATAAGGTCTAGTGCCGTAAGCCTTGTCTGTCTACGAGATGAAACAAATATAAGAACTGGTTTAGTAGGTGAATGGGTACATATGGCTGCATATGCCGGCTTGTTCATGCTATTCATCCTTGGGCAGTAATATTTTCCAGGATAACCCTGCAACAAAAGTAAGGTTTAAGTCTGAAATCTTATATTCAAATGGCATCCTTTGCTAGATTTAAGATTCCCCATCCATAAGAAAGAGGATAAAACCGTTGAAAAAAGCAAGGCTAAATAGTTGCAAGAAGCGAATGCATTAGAAACTGATATTGACTTGCCTGGATATGAACTTCAATAGGTACAGGTCTGACACTTGGCTTAAAATTGAAAAGTCCAGTCTCTCCAACGCCCAACCAATCAGCCAAATCACTACGAAAAGAGCAATCATGGAAGGTCAATGACATTAAAAATTACCCAGGCACATAAAACCAATACCAGGGAAAATAGGATCAATTAACAGTTCTTTAATTGGAAATAAAGTTCAATGAGATGGCAACACTCTTCAAAATATGCAATGTAAAAATTTTAGCATATGGGAATGCTGGGTTGGCAGGACTAACACAGCAAGGAAGTAGGTAACCATATACCGGTTTGAATATCAGTAGCATATTCCAACTGATGTACGATAAGAATAAAGCCAAAGAAAGATAAAAGCAAAAAAAGAATCTAAAGAATTTAAAAAGGTGACAAAGTTGGAAAGACGAACCCTGCATTTGCTAGAGCAGTAGAAAGACCAACAAATCTCACTGCACGTTCGGTCTGTGATGATATATATCTCATCCTAGAGACGATAACCTGGCAACAAAATGAAGCTTGGAGTGTCAAGAATAACCAAGATACGTGCAATTTATAACTGAATTTCTAACATATTCTCTTATAATAAAAGCCCAGAAAAGACAAAGAATCAAATCTAATTATTATTAGCACTAATTTGCGGTCAAAAGCCTATAATGAAGAGTGATTCGCATTTATATAATTAGCGCCACACTAGGACAGTGGCAGTTGAACAGTTCGAGCAACTTAGAAATATGATATATAGAATGCAAGGGTATACCTCAAGGATGGGTCCTCTTTCAGCTCCCAGCAAGTGAATCTCATCCAAAATTACTAGTCCGACCTATATACAGAATATCATGAATGTTCATTCAACAAAATAACAAGCACAACAATCTATAACCAAAGAAAAAAAATACCTTTTTTACGTAACTTCGAGTATGCCAATTCCGACTAATACCATCCCATTTTTCAGGGGTAGATATAATGATATCTGCTGACAAGAGAGCTACCAGATCTGGAGTATAATCTCCGGTCATTTCAACCTGTGGAAAAGCGAGAGATTTATCAAAAGAATACTCAGCAGCATAAAATATGCAGCAAAAAGGGCTAATATATGCAGCAACACATATAGATGCTTCATCGTAAATTGTTAATATATGCAGCATGCACATACCATTTCCTTTCCAAGTCGAGCAACAAGATGTTTTCTCCAATCATTCATTCTTTCCCGAACGATGGCCTTCAGTGGTGCTATATAAACAATCTGCATTTAGACAAAATTTTGAGTATATCTAATAAGATGATAACTGTGCATAATTTTGACACATTTCACAGATAGGGAATATCTTACAATTGGTTGGCAACGGGTTAATACCAACGAACATTATCACATGATTATTTTGAAAAAAAATTAAATAGCCAATGGATGAAAATATTGAGGATACATATCATGTCTGAATACTGGAACAACAGACCTTCATGTCAGGCTGAGTACTGAATAGACGTAGCATGGCAAGCTCGGCAGATATAGTTTTTCCACTTCCAGTTGGAGCTCCTAAGAGAACATTGTTGTCTGTATGATACAACACATGAAATATCTGCAACACCAAGCAGTTTCAGGTAAATAATAAGAGTGTCAAGTGCAAATATTTGCAAATATGACTAAGCAAGGCATATGACAGAACATGCTCGAACCTGGGTCTGGATTGGATTGAAATGAGAAAACTTATAAAGTGATTCATATAACTTATTCCCAAGAGCAGTTACGGGAAGAGGTTTCAAGTCCAGAAGCTCCGTGTGAGAAGTTCGTGCCTGAATGAAACAGCACATTAAGATTTACCTTGCAAAATATTGAAACGTACTAGAGTTCTAGTGAAACTTTTGAAAATAGAAACCTCTGGTAATGCAAGGTTATGGAAAGAAATTGTGTAGAAAGACTCCGCATGCAACCAAGAGTCAGAAACAGCATGAACATAGTATTGAGGTGGATGCGGTTCAAATATTGGTACAGTGAAGGAAAGCTTCTGAGGTTCCCCTCTAGCCATCCGCTTTGTCAGTGTAAAAAGCTCTGAGTGGTAAATATGATCATTCTCAGTGTCCTGTCCAAGAGAATAGCACACCAAAACAATGACTAATAAGGAATATCAAAACAACATAAAAACAAACAATATTGTAGTTATATATACCCATTGGTTCACAAACAAAAATGCAAACGTCGTAACCTATTGTGGGCACATAATATGCTTGAACTATCTGAGCAAGTTTGTTAGATTTCTGGGTGGAAAATTTGAGGATAAGTCAAACTCAAAGTGGTATATTTTGTACTTCTGGATAGACATTTCCACGTGCAATTGATAGTGACAAGACATCATCATATAGCAAAAGTACATATAAGTTAACAAGAACTATCTACCTGAATGTACTTATTATCAATGCCACAGATGAAACGTACATATAAGCTCAATATTTATGACAACAAAACTCATCTCTTATGGGAGTTATACAACAGTACCTCGATGAGAATCCACCAACGTAGAGCAGCGCCATGAAAGCGATCTTTCCAAACAAAATCTGGAGTTATAACCAAATCAACCTGGGTATAGTGACAAAACAAAGGCATTAAGGGAGATTATTCCATGAGAATATCTAGAATATTGAAAGAGATTCCATAAGTTACCTTCAATACAGTGCGTGTAATTGGACTGACAGTAGCTGACAACAGAATTGAAGGAAAGTATCCTAGATATTGCTTGACCAACTGCATAAACGTAAAAGCAATAGAGCTAAAAGTGTTAGGCTGTTTTCTTCAACCAGACATGCATTGACTAGTAAACTTCTGATATGCACCTTTCCCCCAGGATTGTAGCGAATCAGTGCTCCAATGTCTTTCTCCTCCATCTCATATAGACGGTCTAAGTCAGCCCCTCGCTCTTCGAGTTTTCTCAACACCTGATAAATTGAAATGAAATTGATGGCATAATTACATATAGCAAATACAATTATAACAATTATCAAATGATAGTGACGAAAGCTTACATCGAAAGATATATCCCTCCCGAATTGCCTTAGAGGATGCTGATAAGGCCAAACTTGGCGATCAACTGCCTTGCAGTATTCCAACATAAATAAAGACATCTCACACCACCCTCTTCGCAAGCAAATTTCAAAAAGAGCACGCATTATCCGTGCTAAACTAGCGCTTATATATGCAGCGTCGGAGACAAGAGAAAATGTATCAATTGAACCACGGGATATGTACAACTGCAGATTGTGAAACCAGAAATTCAGATATTACATATCAGCTATTCCCTTCATTTCATAGGTACAGTATTCACAACAATTGTAAAGTAATTGACCTGAATGAGAATTGAAATTTTTCCATGCTTGTTTGAAGGACCCCCCTTAATGTCTAATGGGCAGCAACTGCGTACAAGCATCTCAAGCTCATTCTGTTCCTCCTCTCTTACAACAATATTTTCAAATTCGGAAGAATGGGCAACCATATCAATTATCTACAGCAGAAAATTGAAACTTCGTGAATAATGAACTTCGACACACCAGAGCAGCTTGTCAAGAATGAAAATTTCTAAGTTAGAAGTGATAAAAACAATAACAATATGCAATCGGAAAAGCATCAAGGTACTAATGAGTGGAAATATTTACAGTACTAAGCACAAAACACTATAATTAACGGTACTAAACACAACAGAAACTACCTCGCTTTCATTCATGTGCCGCTTCAATTTTTCATTGTATGTTTCAACACTAGAATATTGGATATAGAAGTGACTTGCGATTCGCCCGAGCTCAGTGCAGTAAAAGTTTCCACTTTTCTCATCAAACCGCATCATCTTAGCTTTGTCAAGTGCACGTGCAGCATCAGTCACAAGTGCCCGTTGCTTCAAAGTTAAAGAAGGATCCGCAATTATCTGTCGAATGCAGAGCAGTTAGAATAATTTTAAGTACAATCACACCCAAAAAGAAACAGAGCAAGAGCAGCTAGCTATTGCAGAATTAGGTTAGATAAAAAACATGCAACATAAAACATAAAGATAGCTCGAATACATGAAATATAGGTTTAACAACACATTTTCACTTCCAGACACTGATGTGAGGACTCATAATCATTAATAATATGGTAATAAATTCTATGACTTCAATAATTAACAAAAGAAAGAAATCTTGCATTACTAATATTATAAAAACAAGAAAAACTAGGGCAGCACTTGGTCACGTCCAACAGAACAAAATGGCTAAAAGGGAAAATATCTTCATCAGCCTGAGCAGTGAGCAAAGTTAGCTATGGAACCCTGAAAAACGTACCTCATCCCATCCAACCCCATAAGCCAAAGGATTTAATCTCATCCGGATGGACAAATATGTATATCCAAGCCAAGCACAAGCTTCCTTAACATTTGTCACGGTTCCCAAAACCACTTCTGCGTTTAAATTGTCTTTCAAGGAGCTTATAAACTGCACAGCAAACAAGATTATAGATAGTATCTTGTTATATGGCCGTGCAAGTTGAAAATTCAAAGTACAAATGTAGGTTTAACTATTAGGCTGAAATTTAATATATCTGCTGATTACCTGACTTTCTATGGGAAGTTGACTTGTCAGCAACCGTAGATAGTATGCTAGCTTGTCATGGGATGTAATGATAATGCCTTCACCACTCTTGTCAAACTGGGGTCTCCCGGCCCTCCCGAAAATCTTTTAAACAAAACGTCATGGAAATAGAATAATAACGAGAAATATTACAAGAAAGGTTCTAAAATTTAGTGGGGAAAAAAAACTCGGGCCCAAATCCCAAGATGAATCTATGCTTTACCTGCATGACATCAAGCATCCCCAGGTCTTTCCACCCTCCAGCCTTTGGATCATACAACTGTGTTCCCTGGAAATTGATAGAACTGATTGAGTTATAGGAAACAAGCGCCGCTCGGAGAAGTTTCTGCAGAAGGTGAAACCGAGAGACACATTGTTAGAGTGCAGAAAACCATTGAATAGACAAATCAATCCAAGATAATTGATTATGAGCAAAAGAATGTAATGCAACGCAAGATCCACGCGTTAAGGCAGCCTGGTGATTAAGATCTTGCTGTTTCTATCTAATTACGGTCCTAGGTTATTTCCGTTGTTTTCTCTGTTAGAGGCTTGGTTTTAAAAATGCATGAGGCCCACCGAAGAATAAAAGCTCCAACTTAGATCTTTGGAATTTACTGAACAGAGGAAGAGCAAAAGATGTTTAACAATGTTATGCATCACATTGCTTCACCTGTCTGAAATTACAGAGGGTGACACTACTTCTATCAAACGTGTGACGATTGTGATCTTTATCAATTCTACCAGCTTCCATTTTTTCACCAAATTAGAAACAGTGCCAAAGGTTTCATCTTTCCATGGGTGTTTAACGTAGGGTTGAGGATGGATTCATGAGACTTGGCAAGCTCAAAACAACTAAAATAAAAAAGCTTATCCTTAGAAAGAAACTCCAGCTAGAAGATATCTCTAGAAAGATGCACATGGCAACTGAAGTCCTCAAATCCAAAGAGGATTCCGTCGAATCAAGAGAGAATCTGGTAAGTGTCTAAGACCCTTTTTTTATCTTCAATGTTAGACACAAAATCCGACAGCCCGAATGCCATTATCAGTAAATGCACCTTTAGAGTCTGATTGTGTCAAATTTGTAACATGCTTATGCTCATCTTCAGTCTTTCCCTCGAGATTACAGAATGCAGCTGGGTTATACAAAACCATTCATTTATAAAGAAAAGTAAATTTGGTTCCTCACCCATGAACATACCTTAATAACAACTGTGTGTGCAGGCAGATTTACACCCCATGCAAGGGTTGCAGTGCAAACAAGCACCTGAAATAACCAATGCAACACATTCCGAAAATTATGTATCCAAATAATAAACTGCAAAAAGGAGGTGCCCAAGGGGAAAACCCTACTTTCAAGAGTCCATCAGCAAAAAGCCTCTCAGTAAGTGTTCTATCAGCTCGCAGCATTCCGGCATGATGAACACCAACACCAGCTTCAAAGAAATTGACAAGATCCTTGTTTCTGGACTTCATGACTTCTTTCTAAAATACACCGCATGTAGTCCTTAGTAACATATAACAACCACAAACAATTCAGAGGATGAACTTCCCTTGTTTACCTTCATCAGGCCAAACTGTGGATGACTATCATTCTTAAACAAATCGGCAGCCTCATATTTCCGGGCAAGCTCAATCTGCCCAAGACCAAACATAAAAATTCATGCACTTCTACATGTATTTGAATTTGTTGGACATGCATTTGTTCGAGAAAATACATGTACATACAAAAACACGTTATTTATTTCATTATTCTTCTTTGCGAGACATAAAGATCATATGTTGCGTCACTTAAAAAATGATTTCTGAAGCGTACATAACATCAAGAAAATATATGTTTATGCCTGTAAGCACTCAGTTTTCGGATTGGTTCAGTAGGTTGCAAAAAGGGGCCCCAAGGCACATCATGAAAGACCCCATAAATAAGCTGAATATACAGAAAGTAAAAGCTTGTACCAGTTTCTCAGCTGTTTTTGCTGTATCTTTTCGGGAATGAACAAAAACCATTGCTTGATGACCTTGTCTAAGTGAATCAACAACCTAACATGAAAGCATTACCAGACATATAAGCAGCTGCTCGCAGTCAGATGGATATAGAGGTGGTTTAACTAGATGTAGAGACCTTTTTGTAGCAAATCTCGTGTAGCAATTCGTTTCTAGCTGCAAAGTTATGCTCGCTGATCCCTATGTACTGCTGAGCGAGGGGCACTGGGCGATAACTGGAATCAAAAAAGAAAAGGCCTGTGTCTGGATTCACTCGGAGAAACTGAGCAACCTGAGAATCCACCCCACAGAAAGGAAAAACAATGTTGAGTCTTTACTTTGACTTGTGACCAAAAACCAGGTTGTGTGTGCCAAAAAAAAATCAAGGTAGTGAAGTAAAAATGTCTTGGCAAAATAGCAATGTGACAAATATGTGTGTGTGTGTGTGTGTGTATAAGAGAAAAACCTCTCGGTAGCTTGGCAAAGTGGCTGACAGGCCAACTATTCTTATCATTGTCTGAGTTGACTCCACCTGAAGTACAAAGCAAAATGGAAAATACATGTTAAGAAGCTGTCCCAGAGTTTCACAGTCAGAATTTAGTCTCAGACCTAGAATCCAAAAGTTATCAATTCAACCACGAAAAAAGTGATAAAAAGAACTCTACCTGACGGAGGGTCCGAGCTACAAGAGCCTCAATTACTGGACCTCGATCATCATTCAGAAGATGCACTTCATCAATTATTAAGAGTTTTACGAGCATTGATAATGACATATCACTACTTTTACGAGTAATGACATCCCATTTCTCAGGTGTCGTCACTATCATCTGTTTCACAATATAATCAACAAACACAATGGTCAGTCCCTGCATAAGCACACAGGAAACTGAAGCTTAGACTACACATTATAAAATAAAACCTGAGTTTCTTCAAGTTCATTCTTGGTGAGTTGCATATCTCCAGTAAGTTCCTTCACAATCATATTCAATGGAGCTAAACGACAGCTAAATGCTGATGTTACTTCTGCAGCTAATGCCTACAAAGAAGTTAGTCTAAAGCAAATTCGACAACCACACTATCCAATGCACGTATGGCTTGATTCTACCTTCATGGGAGCTACATAAACAATCTTAAACTCGTTTTTGTGCAAGTACCCATCCCTGAAGTGTTGTTTAATCTGCAAAATAAAATGTTAAAATATTTTTCTCAGTAGAACTTTAGATGTAGTCTGTAGAGCATGATTAAACTCAACATAAATGTCACACCTTTTGACCATCTTAAGATACATTTCAGACTACATGTTGTGATACAAGAATATAACAACTCTCTAAAACAAGAAGCTAAGAATAAAAACAGGTGGAGATGAATAAACATATAAATCAGGCAAAGCCAACGGTTGTGTACCTCATGTAGAATAGAAATCATAGCTATATTTGTTTTACCAGCTCCTGTTGGAGCACAAACCTGCAAGGTACAGAATCTAAGTTGGGCTTGAAAAGGCAAAAGGCACCACAATGATATCCGATAGAAATTTCAGAACATACTCACCAATATATTCTCGTTCGTGAGATAAACTGTCTGAAATATTCGACTTTGGATGCGGTTCAAAGACTTGTAACCATGAAATGCAGCTTGAGCAAAGTCATCTAACTCTTTTATCTCAATCTGGCAATAGCCAAAAATTCTAGTGAGTGTGCATTCAATCTCAGCAGGCAAAAACTACGACATGATTCCTAAGAATGTTTGGAAAACACTTGGAGATGAGTTCATCTATCCATTAGACATCAACGAGACGTACCAACTTCTCTCCAGGTTTCATTTGTGCAGTTGGGGTCGGAGGGATAATCACTTCCTCGTATCCTTTTAAGTGCTTCCTTATAGTACCTTGGGGAAGAGCAACGGCAAGAGAATTGCTTCCTTCACCAGACCCAATCAAATTATCCAAAGCATTCTTCCTTTCACTTGCTTCAAGTAAGGAAGAAAAGTTTGCCGCAGATATTTCATTCTCTAAACCAAGTTCGGTGCTGCGCTTGTTTCTCTTTTCCTCCTTGCGCCGGAGTTTTTCGATTTGCCTCGCAGACTCTGTTTGAACAGTAACCTAAACAGTGGTTGTGAGCCTTACTGGGCCAAAATAAAGAATCGAGTCCAACATTTAACAGGAAGCACTTCAATATATAGTACCTGTGTACCATAGGTAGGCATTTGAGATTGGGAGTTTGAAGCCGTTTTGTCAGACTTGAGTACCGATTGACCATGGTGGATTGCATTGACAATTTCTTTTCGATGCTGGAAAGGGAAATCAACAAGTCAGACACTGTTCAATTGTTAAGCAAACAAGGAAATATTCAGGATATTGATAACATGCCTATATATTGTCATTCATATAATATTCATATATATATGTGTGTGTGTGCATTAGGAAAAAACACCGATATTCAGAAAAAAGAGAACAACAAAAATCTTACGGATATAAGGTCTTGAACAATCTCAAATGCATCATCCCCAACAAGGTCTAACAAATCCCCAGCTATCTGCAGAAAAATCATTTAGATGCTCTCGATTTTGGCTTCCAAGGATGATGTTTCTAGACTAGATATAATTAATTTGTCTGATGTGTCCGAAGAAAACATACCTCCTCACCAGGTTTCTCTGAGTCTAGGAATCGGCATATAGCCATAGCCAATTCATCGCGAGACAGCTGTGAATTACTTTCTCTAACTATCCGCCCACATGCATCTCTCAGCCAACTTAAATTATATTTTCCTGCAGGCCGATTGTTTGTTGTGTCATTGAAATCGCTCCATCCTTCAGCAAATGATACAGAGGTCTCGTTGCTTTCCTCATCCATAAACCCTCCATCTTCAAGAGGTGCTTCAACCAGAAACCGAGCTGGTGCGTTAAAAACAAGGTCAGCACCAAACTCAGCTCTGCCATCAATCTCATTGACATATGTCTCAGACTGGTGACAAGGCTGTAGTGTATAAAGTATCTGAGCTAAGGAGACAACTTTCTTAAGATTAGCATCTGAGACAGCGTGTCCAACAAGGTTTTGCAGCTCTAACCTGCAAGATAACGCAATTGGCAAAAGAATGGAATTCAACAAAACTTTTATCAACTAACAGGATTTCATTTCCAATCAAAATTGCAGCTCATAACCCACAATCATAGATACCTCTACCCTCTCAGAAAATATCGTATCAGTTTAACTTGGCCACTTGGCCCATAGAAGTTTCTCATATTTGGCCTTGGTACAGATTGAAAAGCCACTCATTATGCTAATTTCAGAGTCTGTATAAGTGGCTCACCGTGCTAATTTTAGAGTCTGAAAAATGCTTAACACATCTAATTACCCAACAAAAAAAAAAATCTTACTTCTTCTCAGCAATACTTTTATTATTTGAATTGTCATCGTCTTTTTCTGTTCTTCCAAAAAGACGATATGCAGCAAAAGCAACCTCGCGAAAGTCATCTGATGGAATTTCCCTGTCAATCAACTCCACTACAGCTCCAATAAACTGCTTGTATGCTTGCCGCACATCAGGAGAAGCTGCCACCAGCAATTCCCATTAACACAAAAGAAAACACCATTCAAAAGTCATTTCGAAAGGTACCAATTTGATTTGTAGCACTTAACAACAGTAGCAGAAAAACACCTCCATCCCATTGATGAACTATCCTCCTGGCAAGCTCTGACTCATCAAGTGCATTCTTGGAACTGAAATACCGAAAAGAACAGAAAATTGCTGGCAAAATCAGTAGAGGTAAAAAACAAAACAAACGTAGTAAGAACAATTATGAAATAAGTGCTCCCCAGAAGCTGTCCAAATTGAAACCCAATAAATTTGAGCGAAATCCTACATCATCCGCCTCAATGATCGATCTAAACTCTCCTCCATAAAACAAGAGATCCCAACAAAACTAAACTGTCTAAAATTCACTGCTGTAATATCCTGAAACAGAACAGGCAACTAAAAACAGCCCCCAAACTTCTTCCACATAGACATCATGACCATCCAACACAACTACCCAATCCTAACGAGAAACAAGCTGAAGACCCATCGAACACCCAGTAGTAGAATCATAATTCTCACAAGCACGGTGAAATTCAGGAATCCCGACGATGTACCTGCGAGGTTTGTCGAGGTTTTGCAGAACGGTTTTCCGGTTAAGATACGCTTGGTCGATGTCGAACGGCTCTCTGAGAGAGCTCGTCAAGCGGGGAAGCTGAACCAACATGGTTGCAGTATGAAACGGTGTCGTGTTGTACCTCGCCTCGTCAGCTGCCAAGGGGAAGAAGACGATCGTGCAAAATGAGTTTCCGCGATCGGGAAAAACATAAATACAATTTCGGGTCGTATTCTTGGATCCGGAAACCCGACTCAACCCGACCCATTAAGTATTGGTTTGAATTTCAACAAGGCTTGGCAGAGGCCCAGAACCATATCCGTTTCTTCTAACCTAAACCGAACTAAACCAGAAATAAATCAAACCGAGCTCCAAAAACCTTTCATAATAGTGTTTCATTATCAAATTTTATTCTATTTTATTTTCCTTATTTTATGATATTTTCTTTCAACACACTTGCGCATACCATCCCCATATTGCGTTGTGTATTTTATTTGACATTTCTTATAAATATATTTTGGAAAAAAATATATCCTTTTTTTTATCATCAAATGAGTCATAAATTTGAGAAGATAACAATGCACCAATATTTGTTCACTATTTTCCATTTTTTTCTATTTAAACATCTAAAAAAACTTTCAATTTTCACATTTGGTGGAACACCACCACCATCTGCAACACTTATAATTTTGCAGACGCACAGCTACGTTTCATCTTTCATCTGTCAATCTCTCAATTATGTAAACAGTATATATATGTATGTATGTATGTATGCATGTATGTATGTATGTATGTATGTATGTATGTATGTATGTGTGTGTGCGCGCATTAAATTGTAGATGTGTGGTGGCTTTATAAAATCATTTAATTTAAATTTGAAAAGTGTTCCTACAAGTTGTGTGTATTTTTATAAGTTACAAATCAAAGGAAAAAGAGCTAAAAAAACACATACAAGGGTTAAGAAGAGACAAAGGACAACCAGTCACCCTCACACCACACACACTCTCTCTCTCTCTCTCTCTCTCTCTCTCTCTCCCAGCCATCTTTTTCTTTGCTTCTCCTTCTTGCACTTTCACAGTAGTAGGAGTGAAGTAGCTGCGGAACAAATCCCTCTCTCTCTCTCTCTCTCTCTCTCTCTCTCTCTCCAACGTTGACATTAGTCTGCACTCATCCATGGCTGCTTTGCTGCTTCCACTTCTTGTTATTGCCATGGCTGGTCATTCCAGTAAGACACTTACACTCTTCTTCAGATTTGTGGAACGACACTTTTCTAGCTCTCTCCTTTCTTTCATCATGTTGACCGGTTCTTGTTTTGAAGCTTCTATTTGTGTTCTGTTCTTTGTGAACAAGCTTGTGGGTTCTACTGTTCCTGAGGGTTCCATTCTCTTGTTTGTCTCTCTCTTTGAAGTTCTGATAGATGCTTTCCTTGGTATTTTGCTTGTGTTTTTGGTTTGCTCTCTCCTTGAACGGTAGAAAAAAAAATCACAGATTTGTCCTTTTTTGTTGTAGGGAATGCGCTCATCTCTTCTGTCATCTTCCTTTCCTTCCACTTTCTGTGTTTACATTGCTTTATTTTGTCAAGTTTTGCTCTTTCCTCTGATTCTTCTCTAAACCCAGATCGCATTTTCCAGAAATCTTGCTGGGTTTAGCATTTTTCTTGCTGTCTCTCAAATTTCCTCCCCCTTTTTGCACCTCAGGCTTTTCAAAGTTGATGTCTTGTGTTTTCCTTACAAAGTTCAAACTCGAATCCAATGTTTTTTCAAACCTTGTTGGGCTCACATTCTATTACCTCTTCCAAGATCCCCTCTCCACCAAGAAGATACTGTCCATTTTCATCTGCAATCTTACAGGGAAAATATATATATAAAGCTCGGACCTTTCTTGGATCAATTACTTATATTTTGTTCCCCCGTCTTTTGGGTCTTGGTAGGTGCCACATGGTGTGTGTGCAAAACAGGACTGAGTGATTCAGTGTTGCAAAAGACAGTAGACTATGCCTGTGGAAATGGAGCTGACTGTTATCCAACCCACCCAAAAGGCCCTTGCTTCAATCCCGACACTGTTAGGGCTCACTGTAATTATGCTGTCAATAGCTTCTTCCAAAGGAAGGGTCAAGCTCCAGGGACTTGTGACTTCACTGGCACTGCCACTCCCACCAACACCGACCCCAGTTACTTTCCTTGAATCTATCTATGCTTTCATTCACGGTCTTGTTCCAGATTCATTATCTTTGATCGCTTCTTGTTATGAGATAGTTGAGATTAAAGCAGGGAACACAACTGGAAAAATCTAGGTTTTGTACCTGAATTCAACAATTCAAACGCGTAATTTCTGATTCTGGTGCAGAAGAAACTTGAAATGTTCTTGAATAAGCCTAGAACCTTGGCTAGTTTTCGTGTACAGTTCAAGGCTGATGAAATATTAGCTCAAGATTTTGAGTATACCAAAGATCAAGTGCTATGTCAGTATGGTTTATGTGTCATTAGGACAAGACATTGTACAAGTTCGAAGATCTAGTTTGTTTATCGTGATGAACAAGCTCAAGATAGCTCCCTCGTTTTTTTTGACATTTTTTTTTCTGGGTTGTGTGGTTTTATTACAGGTTATGCAGGATGTCCTTTCCCTGCTAGTGCCAGGTATGGCTCCAAACTGCTTCTCTGTTGCCGTCTGTTTATTTTTCCTGTCCAAAGTTCGATACTTTATCAAGAACTTGAAGGAAAGGCTTCTCATTTCATGGATCAAAAGATCTCTCTTATCTTCCTTGTCTATTGAAATATTTTCATGGTGAATTAACTTGTGCCTATTTCTGGACCAAAGGACCAACCCAGTTCGTATCCCCATCTAGTGGGGTTATGGGGAAGGAAATATACTAGGTCCATGCCACCTTACCCTACCCCTACATTTTATAACGTAGAGAGGTGGGTTCGAACTCCCCATGGAAAATGGTTTTACTGAGTCTTCTTTTAGGGCCCCATGTATCCATCTTTTCTGTGAAAGACGTTTTGAATCTGTACGAGAGCTGAGTGTTTTTTTTGTCTCCAGCATCCTTTTTTACCCGGAATTGGATTCAAAAGTGAAATATTTCTTCTTTTTTTTTTCCCAATAAACAAACTTCTGTTAACATCTATGATCAAATCTACTTTTCTTGAGAATGCAACATGATTTGCTGTCCTTATCTCATATGCCCGTGTGGGCATCATCATCTTTACTCTTCTTGACTCCCACAATGGACCCTGCAATAATTAAAACTGTCCCTCCTTTTGTTAAAGTTTTGAAATTTAAATCTCAGATTGTTTTGTAGTGTAAAAGAAATAGGACGTGGCATCTGAATCAAATGGTTTGTATATCTTCTATTTCTGATCAGTATTATTCCTGGCTAATAGGATGTAGGACCATAGCTTTTGATGATGCTTTTTAGCTCCGAGGATTCAATGTATGATCAAGAGACCAGTTTATCTTTGGTAATGGATGTTTTTCTTGTGGTTTTGCTGCATTTCTAGAGTCTGATGGCTTTTTTGTCTTTGTTCTTGCTGAAAGAGGAGACAGAAAATAAGACATCCTTTTCACTTGGCATGTTGTGTAACCGCCTCCTCTTTCACTTAGAGCCAGAGCTCAAGCTTGTGTCTCTTGTTTCTTTCCTTGTCTATCATGAAAGAATACTACTCTCAGACATGAAAAATCAAGAATGTCTTCATGTCCTTGCTCACTGGTTGCGTTCTTGATCTCGGATATGTCTGTCTGTTCACAAATTATGCTCTCGCTCTTGCCCTTTTCTCGTTTCAGCGCCGCAGGCGGTGGGACCACCATGACTCCCGGCACAGCCAATCCAAGGGGAACCACAACCACCACCATCCCCGGCGGCAGCAGCCCCTACTCGGCCACTTCAGCCAATGGAATCCTTGGAGGCAATGGCACAGACACCGGTATTAACCCGGATTACACAAATGGCACAGGGTTCGGGCTCAAGAACTCGAACAGCATGTTCTTATTATCCCTTCTCTTGATCACGATCACCCGCTTATGTTCTGTCTTGATCCTCTGAGAAATACGTTCAATATGGTAGGGGACGATGTCCTGTCCTCAAGGAGAGTTTAGCTCAGTCGTATTTTTTTTTGTTATCTTCCTGTGTCTTGGTCAGTTGCGTTTCTCTGTGCCTCTAGTCGGTGTAAAAAAAAAAAAGATTGGACCTTTTGTGTCCCTCTTGGTGGTTCTCACGGATTTAGTTCTAAGATCTGAAATGAAAGAAAAGATGTAACCTTTATGCAAATTTAGTTACCCTCAATTAATTGAGTTGTCAAATGAGCCGGCTCGACTTAAATCGGATGTCCCAACTTGTTAAATTCGTTTTTATTCGGGTAGAAAAATTTAAGACTCGGATTAGATGTTCGATCTCGTGAGCGAGAAAAAAAAGAATAAAATAAAAAAATATTAAATATTATAAAAATAATTTAAAAATAATAATTAATATATTTTAAAATAATAAAAAAATATTTAAATATGTTGTAAATATCAGAAAATATGATGAAAACCCGAAATTAATGGAAAAAATAATTTATTCGGCCGATCCCAAATAAATAAATTTTTTAAAAATTATTTAAAAATATTAAAAAATAAAAATATTTTCTTTTCCTGGTTTGCGAGTTAGTAGACTCGTCATGAACCGAACTCGTGACAAACTAGTTCGTTTGGCTCGTTTTTTTTCGGATTCAAAATTTCTCAGCCCAAATCAGATAAACTAGCTCATTTTGAAATCCTACCGCCAATGCCTATACTCTTATATAGAAAAAAACTTTAATAACAACAAAAATAAAAATAACAGTGAAGAAGTAGAAAGAATGAAAATGAAAGCCATTAGCTACAATTATTTTTCCCATTGCACAAAAACTAATGTTTTCCAGATTATCCATTAGAAAAGATAAGGTAACACAACAAATATATAGAACCAGGAACAAGAACAGGAAAGAGTGCAATGCAGGGGTTTAACGATAAAAAAACGTAATCTGAATCTATCAAAGATTCATTTAGTTCATGATCCATGTTCTGAATCTTCAAGCTCTTTTGGCGACATCGTTGTCGTCCATTGGCTCATCTCCCATATTCACGTTGCTGTTGTTATTCTCCGTACTGTTTCCTAATTGATCCTCGCCGCCAACATCCCCGCCGCCAAAATCCTCGCCGCCAAATCCGCCACTACTGCCGCTGCCGACAACAAACTGGTCGCTGCCTCCAAAGTTACCGCCGGACTGAGAGCTGCTGCCACCGACCTGGTTGCCATGGAAGTCACCACCAAACTGAGAGTTACCGCCTCCGTATGCTCCACCTGTGCCACTTTGGACGTAATTGTCACTGCTACCACCACTGCCACTGTAGCCACCGGCTCCATAACCTCCACCACCACCAGCTCCATATCCGCCACCTCCACCGGCTGCATAGCCACCACCAGCTCCATAGCCGCCAGGGTTGCCCCCATAGCTGCCACCAGCACCACCTTCGTAGCCACCAGTACCAAAACCACCAGCAGCAGCTCCATAGCCGCCTCCACCGCCTCCATAGCCGCCTCCACCGCCTCCATAGCCACCTCCACCGGCTCCATAGCCACCGGGTCCCC